GGGGCTCTTTAAGTCACGTCCTTCACTTGGGCCTCTAAAGAAGCCTTATCCCCTTCTTGGGGCTTAGGCAACCCTGCCAGTGGCTGGAGGGTGGACTCAGGCCTACCCACTACTCCGGGTCCCAACCCAGGGACCATACAAATAGCAGCCATGTGCTGCTTCAGTTAACTCTATCACTGCTGCTATTCCCTGGGCCATAGAATCATAGAATCATAGAATATCAGGGTTGGAAGGGACCCAGAAGGTCATCTAGTCCAACCCCCTGCTTGAAGCAGGACCAATTCCCAGTTGAATCATCCCAGCCAGGGCTTTGTCAAGCCTGACCTTAAAAACCTCTAAGGAAGGAGATTCCACCACCTCCCTAGGTAACGCATTCTAGTGTTTCACCACCCTCTTAGTGAAAAAGTTTTTCCTAATATCCAATCTAAACCTCCCCCACTGCAACTTGAGACCATTACTCCTCGTTCTGTCATCTGCTACCATTGAGAACAGTCTAGAGCCATCCTCTTTGGAACCCCCTTTCAGGTAGTTGAAAGCAGCTATCAAATCCCCCCTCATTCTTCTCTTCTGCAGGCTAAACAATCCCAGCTCCCTCAGCCTCTCCTCATAAGTCATGTGTTCCAGACCCCTAATCATTTTTGTTGCCCTTTGCTGGACTCTCTCCAATTTATCCACATCCTTCTTGTAGTGTGGGGCCCAAAACTGGACACAGTACTCCAGATGAGGCCTCACCAATGTCGAATAGAGGGGAACGATCACGTCCCTCAATCTGCTCGCTATGCCCCTACTTATACATCCCAAAATGCCATTGGCCTTCTTGACAACAAGGGCACACTGCTGACTCATATCCAGCTTCTCGTCCACTGTCACCCCTAGGTCCTTTTCCGCAGAACTGCTGCCTAGCCATTCGGTCCCTAGTCTGTAGCTGTGCATTGGGTTCTTCCGTCCTAAGTGCAGGACCCTGATTCTGTCATCTGTACTAGCTTTTACTCAAGCTCTGATCTACTAATCTGGACCGACAGAATTAATCGCTCTCAAACCTGTCAGTCGTGCCAAACTGAGTGGTGGGTGCTTTCTGGACTTCAACAGAATTCTTTTGAAAGACAGCATTTTCATTGGGTGGGAAAAAATAAAAAATAAGAAACAAGCCAACATTGCTATTGAGGATCACAGCTCATTAAATTACACCCAGTGGGACCAAGATGCTTCACTGTAGTGCCTTGACCTCCTTTGTTACACAGCCGTGCAACATCGCAGCTTTGCCACACGTCACCTCAATTTCTTTACCAAAGATGAGCTGGGATGCTTTGAATGGCCTGTGAATGAGGACATGTCAGCAGCAGAATCAACAGTGGCACTACGAAAACCATGACAAACGGCAACTTTATGCCTAAACTTAAATGTCCAGCCTTGCTACAATTTAAGCCCAGTCTTCCCGTCCTATCCTCAGAGGTTTATGAGTACAATTCACCTCCCTCCTCCTTGTAACAACCTTTTATGTACTTGAAAAATGTTATCATGCCCCCCCTCAATCTTCTCTTCTCCAGACTAAACAAACCCAGCTTTTTCAATCTTCCCTCATAGGTCATGTTTTATAGACATTTAATCATTTTTGCTGCTCTTCTTTGGACGTTCTCCAATTTGTCCACATCTTTCCTGAAATGTGGCGCCCAGAACTGAACACAATACTCCAGTTGAGGCCTAATCAGCATGGTATAGAATGGAAGAATTACTTCATGTCTTGCTTTCAACACTCCTGTGAATACATCCCAGAATGAGATTTACTTTTTTTGCAACAGCGTTACACTGTTGACTCATATTTAGCTTGTGACCCACTATGATCCCTTGTGAGCCCCCAGATCCCTTTCCACTGTACTCCTTCCTAAGCACTCATTTCCCATTTTGTATGTGGGCAACTGATTGTTCCTTCCTAAGTGGAGTACTATGCATTTGTTCTTATTGAATTTCATCCTATTTACTTCAGACCATTTCTCCAGTTTTCCATGAGTGCAGGGGACTGGAGTAGAAGACCTCTAAAGGTTGCTTCCAGTCCTACGAGTCTCTGATTTATAACCTCCCCAAAAGACTAAAATGAAAGCAAGGTCTCTGGATTGATGGATGGAGGTCACATAAATATATTTTCAAGAAAGAAATGTTGTATCCTGGAATCCCAGCAGAGCAACAGCTCAGAAACTTGGATCCGTCCTTAACATACTAGAGTAGAAGAGATTTGGGAGCAATTCCGCAATTCTCAGCCAGATGGATCTTAAAATATCATTTTGGTTACTGTTTTCATCTCATGTGAAATGTCCTATCCTGGTATGTCCGGTAATTAACCAACCCTTTATAAACGGAACAGTCATAGAAATGTGACTATTGCTCCACTCTGCTCCTACTGAAACAAAAATACCAGACAAATAAAAATAAAAAAGTTGTAAGGATGATACAAAAAGGTCATGGGGATCTGAAATGGATGTAGAGTCCTCCACCTTTGGGTCACTAGTACAAAGCCAGTCTGAGTTAATAGTGGCCTCACATTGTTAACGATCTAATAGCTGTATGGTTACTTGATGATTTGGCGGGTCTTGGACTTGCTTCTATTGGACAGGTTTACACATGAAAACTGCAAGTGATGCCACCTGGCACTTGTTAGTGATTTTGGCATGGAGACCAAGAGGGCTGAATGGGTATCTACACTGCACTTCTTCTCACCTTTCCAGGTCAAGGTTGAGAGCTCGACCAGCCAAGGCCCAACTGCGGAAGGCAACATGTGACAAACATCCTAAACGCAGGACACAAAAGTATTTATGCAGAAGACTTAAAAGTACTGCTGGACTCATCCCTTTGTGGTACATAGCTCTGTCTGCAAGTGCAGTTCTGCAGCTGTTTATTTCCGATGCAGAGAGAGCACCAAATATGGGTGGAATGGAAACAAATGCAGGACTGACATTCATAATGGTGAGGGACACTTGGGAGGGTTGGGGTTGAGGCATGTTTACTATAGAGAAATCTTGCCCGTGCTGTAGATAAACAGCACGTCACTCTGCATTGCCAAACCAGCAACATCCCTGAGCAGTGCACTGGCATAAAAAAAGAAAAGATCTTCTACGTTGCCAAGCTTCAGCTCAAGGATATTTAAAGAATGTGATTACAAACCACTCAAAAACAGGGGCTTCTCATGGAACATCATCTGACAAGAACCTCTATTGAAAGCCGGGCTGCTTTAATTACATCAGAAGAAAATGATAAATAAGCCGCCAGTTGGTGCACAATAAACATTATAAAAGCGTTCTGCCTCCAGAAAGCGAGCACCCCGTGATTATCGTACTGGGAAAACTTTTGGTTGAATGTAACTGGAAAAAAAAAAATGTTTTGCTCTGGAGATGACCTGAATGAACTAGTTTGGCCATCAGACTGAGTGAGTGACTGTGTGTGTGTGTGACTGATGCAGATGGGTATCCGTGTCTCAGGCTGGTCAAAAATCCATGGAGACAGCAAGAATTTTCTTGCCTGTGCTATCTCCATAAAACTCTGGCATGTCGTTTTGCTACCATCACTAGCCTTTGATGATTCAGAAAGTGCATCTCTGAGTCACTACAGAACCAATTCCTTAGCACTATTGAGGCTGCTGCAGCTGGTCTTATATATTATAGGACATCAAAAATAAGGTCTTTGTGACAACATTTAGTCATATAAAATCCAAAATAGCGTTTTTACAAGAATAAATGACCAGGACACTGAAGCAAGCATAACAGTGTAATGGGGTTTAGCACACACATGAACTTGTGCATGAAGTCCTTACTTGCTCAAATATACAAAGCTTTTTCTGTACAGTGTTTGCAGGTGCAAATGTGGACTTTACTATAGAAGAATGTATGTGAAAAATTTGCAAAATAGCCGTAGGGATCAGGATCAAGTTTTGTTAGCACCCCTCTCAAGGGAAGCTGCCATTTAACTGATACAGCACTGGATTAGGATTGGCGCTGGGAGGAATTGTCCAGAATTGGGCTATTTAACAGCAGCAAAAATGTGGTTAATGGATTACTATTAAAAACAAAACTTGCCAAACAAATTTGAAAGTCTGTCTCTCTCATGCATTCAAGTGGGAACCTCATTTCCTGTGCCTTAATGTCAATAATCAGACTAAATAGTTTAATAGTTAATTATAACTTGCTCAAGTCCTGAAGATTTTATTCAGGCCAAATTCACATTGATTTCATTGGGAGTTTTGCATGAGGAAGGACTGAGGGCTTGATTGGGATAGTTAGGCACAACCCTGCATTGAAGATGATGTACAGCTGTACTGCCCAGAGGGAACACCAAGAGCTATCAGACTCCTGAATGCCTCAGGCTGCATATTCACTGCTACTGCTACCCTTGATTCGCCTACGGTGCCACCAGCAAGCTACACCGAGAGATGCCTGGGGTGGTAGGACCATGGTCCCTCCCATTTCCACCCCTTATAGGGAGCATAAATAGAGCCACCCCCAGCCTTGGGTGAATGAAGGCCCTGGAATTCTTCCTGACACAAGACGGGAGTTCCTTCTATCCTCTCCCCCTCCTGACCACATGTGCATGAGGCCAACCAGAATCTGACCCTGAGTTTTGACTTCAGGACCTGTCTCTCTCTCTCTCTTTTTTTTTTTTTAAATTTTGTATTAATAATACAAGGCCCTTTAGACAGCAATCACAATTCCCATTAGCTTCAATCAGTATCTAAGGGCGCAGCTTTCTATTTTGTAATTAGCCATAGTGTAGTGATCCTCTCATCTTGTATATTAGGTGATGCTTTCCTCCACACACACACACACACAAATCCTGGAAGCCTGACGTATTGTTTAAACACTATGCCTCCAGCAGCCCCAGTCCACTAAAGAGCTTTTGATCCCCTTAAATAGTCCAATTGCTTGGCTGTATGATCAGCATGACTGCAAGCAGCAAGAGGCTACTGAATCTAGCAACAATATGGAACAAATGAAGAAAGGAGAAGAGCACTTTACCGTCTTCAGAGTTAATAATTCTGAACAGAGCAGGACACTTGACAGAGACAATTTCGCCCACACTCGCCGACTTCCAGCATGTAATATTATCCCACATCCCAGGGCAACCTATAGAAGAGAAAGAGAGAAATAAAGAAAGAGTTGCAATCAAATTCAATCGCCTTTCAATTTGCTATAGTGCTTTATAGTTACCTCCATCTCAGAGCCATAAACATACTGTCCATTACTCTAAAGGAGTGTAACACTTTCATATAGGCTTAAAATGGGTGGGATTATTTTGTACTGACTGCACCAGTATTAAACAGGAGGCATCACTATGGTACCGGAACAGTGATAATGGGGCCATACTCTCTGTGGGCAGAAATTGAAACGAATTAAGCTGTGCCAATCAAGCTGCACCAATTTATTCCAATGGAGAGTCTGGCCCCCAGGTACCACATTCTGCTCTAATGTAGCTATCAGTCAACACAATGGGCCAAATCCCGAGGCCTTTCATCAGTTTTCCCCTCAGGCAAACAAGCCTCTGGGATAAAACCTGAGAGGTCCTGAAGACCAGAAACACCCCAAGAGGTCAGCACCTCTCAGGATTTGGTCCAGTCACTCCAGCGGGAGTTTGCTTAAGGACTACATGATAAGTGAGGGTGGGCTCTGGGAGTGGGAGTGCAGGGCCCAGATCCCCAAAAGCATTTAGGCACTTAGCTCCCACTGATTTCAAGGGACAGTAGAAGCCTAAATACCTTTTGAAGGTCTAGGCCCAAGAGCCTTTCCTCCTTCACCCTGTGCTCCCTGCATAAGGGCAAGGCACCGATCAGGCATGGGATAATCCCCAGCTAGCACAGGGGAAGCTAGGGTTACCACCTTTGAAATGCAAAAAAACCCAGCATCTCTTCCACCCAAGGCAAGCCCACTGCAACACCAACCCCCGGGCAACTCTGCAACCCTCCTGTCTACCCCCTCAACAGCCACTTATAGTATCTAGAGAGAGAACATGTATAGATAAGATTGAGAACATCGCTTGTCTCCTCACTCACGTGACTCAAACCCTCTCACACACACATAGGCGGTGCACTTGCATGTTGGTGGGAAGACAGCTGCTGTCTTTTTAATCGTGTTGATCTGTTACAGCTTAAACTGCAGAAGTGGGAACACTGCAGCATCTTTAGCTGGACACAGAAATAATAATAATGAAAATCTTTAGATGCGTGTAAAAAAAAAAAACCAACAACAACAAAAACCCAGCAGATTAAATTATTTTTCTGGCAACTGGCAAATCCATAAAAAAAACAGACAGGCCAGTCAAATACTGGCCAGGTGGTCTCCCTGGGAGCAACCTGTACTCCCCCTCCCACACCTCCCACGTAGGTAGTATAGATTCATAAATATTAAGGCAAAAAGGGACCATTACGGTCATCTAGTCCAATCTCCTGCATAGCAATAGCCAGAGAACCTCACCCTATATTTCCCTTGCATCCAGCACATTATTTCTGGTTAAGGTAGATATCTTTTAGTGATGGAGAATCCACCACCTCACCAGGTAAAGTGTTGTAATGTTAAAAAAAATGCACCTTATTTCCAATCTGAATTGCTCTAGCTTCAACTTCCAGCCATTCAATGGATCTTATTCTACCTTCATCTGCTGGATTAAAGATCAGATCACGATCAGAAATCTCCATGTGCAGGTATTTAGATTTTTAAAGGCATGCAGCCATTATTTGGTCAGCATTGCAAGACATAAGGAATTTAGATGGCTAAATCCCAATTTGAAAAGTGATTTAGGCAAGCAGGGCCAGGTCTTTAAAGGTATTTAGGTGCATAACTCCCACTGATTTCAATAGGAGTTAGATTCCTAACACCCAGATCCTCAAAGGTATTTAGGAGAATAAGTCCCATTGACTTTCAATAAGAAAAAGCTCCTTAGTCACTTATGAAAATGGGACTCACCATCAAATCACGTAGGCCTTGCTGAATGCAAGCAATGCCTAAATACCTTTAAAAATCTGGGCCTTGTAGGCTGTGATCAAGTCACCATTTAACCTTCTCTCAGATAAACGACACTGATGGAGCTTCAGAAGTCAGGTTTCAGAGTAGCAGCCATGTTAGTCCATATCCGTAAAAAGAGAAGGAGTACTTGTGGCACCTTAGAGACTAACAAATTTATTAGAGCATAAGCTTTCGTGAGCTACAGCTCACTTCATCAGATGCATAAAACATCTGTTAGTCTCCAAGGTGCCACAAGTACTCCTTCTCTTTCTTCAGAAGTCAATCACTGCACGGCATAGGTTCCAGACCTCGATTCAAATCTTAGCTCTTTTCTGAATGCATTTCCAGTTTGTCAACATCCTTCTAAAGTGTTGACATCAGAACAAGACACAGGATTCCAGCAGTGTTCTCCCTAGTGCTGTATACAGTATACCGCCATCCTTGGGTTGTCCTTAGCCTGTGTGCCAGAGCCAGAATGAGCCACTGTAGTTTAAAGCATCCTTGAGGTTGCTCTAAACTATGCTAGGGATTGGGCAAGCAGAAAACTGGCTACAGAACTGGGATGCCAGAACCTAGTACTTTGCCCACCATCTTCAACTGTGCCTAGCAGATAGAAGGCTGGATCCTCAGCTTACGTAATTCATCTTAACACCATTGATTTCAATCCATCTGCCCCATAGCATGCAGATGACAATCTGGGCCAGCATCTTTTTCTTCTTATTCAAGTAAAAATAAACTTTGCTTGCTTGTTTGTTTAGGATGATGGGCAGCAACATAAACCCCTAAAAAAAACAGAAAAAAAGGCTCATTCTTAGCTGCTGGAGATAAGGTAAAACAGCTCCGCTCCTGTTCCTTTCTGAGCACTGCTGTCAGAAACACGACAAGCTCTGAACATTTTTCAAGGAGCATCTCACTGGCAAGGAAATTCTTTAGCATGACCGCCAATGAAATTCTTTAAATTTAAAGTCCCCAACTTTCAGGGTTGTAAACCTGGTAGGCTTGCCAGTTTGCAGAAGAGTTCAGAGAAATCCCTCAAATTCCCCATTAGTATCCACAAAATGATTTTGCAAGAAGCCCTCAAATTGGAATCGTATTCTGCCGCTGTATGAAAAGAAAGGGACAGAAAATCTAACCCACTCTGCTACCGCACGATTGCTTTCTGGTTCTTTTCATTTGATGTTGAATCTGAGTACATAATCTTATCAAATTTTAAAGGGAGCACTGTACTTGTCTGAATGGTTCTGCTGACAAATTCCCTCTCTCACTGTGAGTGAAAGAAAGACCTTCAGTGAAAGGAGACAATTCTTTAGAATGCCATTGTTGCCGTTTGGGTACAGATATAATACAGGGCAGATCATTGGCTGGAGTAAATAAACAAAGCTCTATTGACATCAAATGCTATGCCAATTTACATCAGCTAAGAAAATATGTCCACTGGACTGGACTTGCTCAGTGAGTTTTTCCACTGACTTCAATGGTAGTGGGATCAGGCCTTATATTTTCTTACTGAATAAAGGGCAGATCCTAAAACACATAATGACTGACTTGGGTATGTAAAGATTGTTTTCATGAGTATTTGGGTCACATGTTTGAACAGTGTGGGTCACACTGATTCATAGATTCTAAGGCCAGTCTGACCTCCTGCTTAGCACAGGCCATCGGACTTTCCTGAATTAATTGCTGTTTGAACTAGAGAAGATCTTTTAGAAAAAACACCCAGTCTTAATTTTAAAATTGGCAGTGATGGAGAACCCACCTCAACCCTTGGTACGTTGCTCCAATTGTTAACCAACCTCAATTATGTGTGGCATATTTCCAGCCTGAATTAGTCTAGCTTCAACTTCCAGCCATTGGATCATGTTAGACTTTGCTTGCTAGATCAAAGAGCCAATTAACAAAATTTAAACTTATAAACTGTGATCAAGTCACCCCTTAACCTTCCCTTGGTCAAGACTCAAACTGCTTGAGTCTGTCACGGTACGGCATGTTATCCAACCCTTTAAATCATTCTTGGGGCCCTTCTCTGAACCCTCTCCAATTTATCAACATCCTTCTTGACTTATGGGCATTAGAACTAGACACAGTATTCCAGACGGGGTCACACCACTGGCAGCAGCAGAGATAATATCACCACCTTACTCCTACTCAATATTCCCCTGCTCATACATCCATGGATCAGATTAGCCCTTTTGGCTACAGCATCACTCTGCAACCTCAGGTTCAGCTGATCATCCACCATCACCCCGCAAATCTTTTTCAGACTCACTGCTTCCCGCGCCAGAGACCCCATCCTGTCAGCATAGCCTGCATATTGTTCCTAGGATGTACACGGGACACTGGCAGACCAGGTGCCAGCTCATGCCGAAACCCCAGGTCAATTCACTGGTGTAGCAGTATAGATCAACGTAATTGTTAAAGTGTATTTGATGTTTAAAAGTAATGAAAACGAATAGTACGTTACTTGCCTTGTTTTCACTTGTCTGTTTCCTGTTATAATGTAACAGAAAACATTTACATTGTGTGGATCCCTGCAACCAAATAACCCATCAAAGGAGAAAGAAGCCTAGTGGAATGCAAATGAAGAACTTGAACAGGAAAGTGCTCATTTCAAAGCCAGTGGTCATTGTGGGTGACCATCAGAGGTCAAAGAATCAAAATGCATTCCTCACTCTCTGTCATCAAAGGAAAAAGCCCATGTCAGCAATGACACCTTCAGCTTGTTTTCTGTGAAGCTATGAGAATGGATTCAAGGAGAGATCCTTCATCTTTGGACTGTTTGGACTTGTACAGGGAAGTGTACCAGATGCAAAGCAGAGATTTCCAGAGACAATCTGGGTACCCTGAAAAGACTTTTAGGAAACAGGCAGTTTATTACATCTCTGCCACCATTAGGAATTACAACTGTGACTCACCTGTGCATATATTTTACCTGCTTTAACCTCTCAATAACTCTCATTTCCTTTTCTTAGCTAATAAATCTTTGGTTATTTTACTTTAGAATTGGCTGGCAGCATTTTCTTTGGTGTAAGATATAAAGTACAAATTGATCTGCAGTAAGAGACTGGTCTTTTGGGACTGGGAACAACCTGCTATGCTGTGATTTTTGGTATAAGTGACCTTTTAATCAC